TAGTTTACTGAACACAAGCACTTAGCCTGTACCAAGAATTAGAAAACAACAACTTTTTCCTCTGTTTCTATATTCTAGTTGATTATTGTTCCTGGTCCCAAGCACAGGCTAGTGCTAGTAGTTTAATGAACACAAGCACTTAGTCTGTACCAAGAATTAGAAAACAACAACTTTTCAGGTCTGTTTCTGTATTGAAGTTGATAATTGTTCCTGGTCCCAAGCACAGGCTAGTGCTAGTAGTTTACTTAACACAAGCAGTTAGTCTGTACCAAGAATTAGAAAACAACAACTTTTCCCCCGGTTCCTGTATCCTAGTTGATAATTGTTCCTGGTCCCAAGCACAGGCTAGTGCTAGTAGTTTACTGAACACAAGCACTTAGTCTGTACCAAGAATTAGAAAAAAAACAACTTTTCCCCCGGTTCCTGTATCCTAGTTGATAATTGTTCCTGGTCCCAAACACAGGCTAGTGCTAGTAGTTTACTGAACACAAGCACTTAGTCTGTACCAAGAATTAGAAAACAACAACTTTTCAAATCTGTTCCTGTATCCTAATTGATCATTTTTCCTGTTCCCAAGCACAGGCTAGTGCTAGTAGTTTATTGAACACAAGCACTTAGTCTGTACCAAGAATTAGAAAACAACATCTTTCCCCCGCTTTCTGTATGCTAGTTTATAATTGTTCCTGATCCCAAGCACAGGCTAGTGCTAGTAGTTTACTGAACACAAGCACTTAGACTGTACCAAGAATAAGAAAACATCATCTTTTCCGGTCTGTTCCTGTATCCTAGTTGATAATTGTTCCTGGTCCCAAGCACAGGCTAGTGCTAGTAGTTTAATGAACACAAGCACTTAGTCTGTACCAAGAATTAGAAAACAACATCTTTTCAGGTCTGTTTCTGTATTGAAGTTGATAATTGTTCCTCGTCCCAAGCACAGGCTAGTGCTAGTAGTTTACTGAACACAAGCACTTAGTCTGTACCAAGAATTAAAAACAACATCTTTTCAGGTCTGTTTCTGTATCCTAGTTGATAATTGTTCCTGGTCCCAAGCACAGGCTAGTGCTAGTAGTTTACTGAACACAAGCACTTAGTCTGTACCAAGAATTAGAAAACAACATCTTTTCCCCCTGTTCCTGTATCCTAGTTGATAATTGTTCCTGGTCCCAAGCACAGGCTAGTGCTAGTAGTTTACTGAACACAAGCACTTAGTCTGTACCAAGAATTAGAAAACAACATCTTTTCTTCTCTGTTCCTGTATCCTAGTTGATAATTGTTCCTGGTCCCAAGCACAGGTAGTGCTAGTGCTAGTAGTTTATGAACACAAGCACTTAGTCTGTACCAAGAATTAGCAAGTAAACAACAAACTTTTCCGTCTGTTTCTGTATGCCTAGTTGATAATTGTTCCTGGTCCCAAGCACAGGCTAGTGCTAGTAGTTTACTGAACACAAGCACTTAGTCTGTTACCAAGAATTAGAAAACAACATCTTTTCCGGTCTGTTCCTGTATCCTAGTTGATAATTGTTCCTGGTCCCAAGCACAGGCTAGTGCTAGTAGTTTATTGAACACAAGCACTTAGTCTGTACCAAGAATTAGAAAACAACAACTTTTCCCCCGGTTCCTGTATCCTAGTTGATAATTGTTCCTGGTCCCAAGCACAGGCTAGTGCTAGTAGTTTACTGAACACAAGCACTTAGTCTGTACCAAGAATTAGAAAACAACATCTTTTCCCCCGGTTCCTGTATCCTAGTTGATAATTGTTCCTGGTCCCAAGCACAGGCTAGTGCTAGTAGTTTAATGAACACAAGCACTTAGTCTGTACCAAGAATTAGAAAACAACAACTTTTCAGGTCTGTTTCTGTATCCTGAGTTGATAATTGTTCCTGGTCCCAAGCACAGGCTAGTGCTAGTAGTTTACTTAACACAAAGCAGTTAGTCTGTACCAAGAATTAGAAAACAACATCTTTTCCCCTGTTTCTGTATCCTAGTTGATAATTGTTCCTGGTCCCAAGCACAGGCTAGTGCTAGTAGTTTATTGAACACAAGCACTTAGTCTGTACCAAGAATTAGAAAACAACATCTTTTCCCCCGGTTCCTGTATCCTAGTTGATAATTGTTCCTGGTCCCAAGCACAGGCTAGTGCTAGTAGTTTAATGAACACAAGCACTTAGTCTGTACCAAGAATTAGAAAACAACAACTTTTCAGGTCTGTTTCTGTATTGAAGTTGATAATTGTTCCTCGTCCCAAGCACAGGCTAGTGCTAGTAGTTTACTTAACAATAAGAAGTTAGTCTGTACCAAGAATTAGAAAACAACATCTTTTCCGGTCTGTTTCTGTATCCTAGTTGATAATTGTTCCTGGTCCCAAGCACAGGCTAGTGCTAGTAGTTTATTGAACACAAGCACTTAGTCTGTACCAAGAATTAGAAAACAACAACTTTTCCCCCGGTTCCTGTATCCTAGTTGATAATTGTTCCTGGTCCCAAGCACAGGCTAGTGCTAGTAGTTTACTGAACACAAGCACTTAGTCTGTACCAAGAATTAGAAAACAACAACTTTTCAGGTCTGTTTCTGTATTGAAGTTGATTATTGTTCCTCGTCCCAAGCACAGGCTAGTGCTAGTAGTTTACTTAACACAAGCAGTTAGTCTGTACCAAAGAATTAGAAAACAAACATCTTTTCCGGTCTGTTTCTTTATCCTAGTTGATAATTGTTCCTGGTCCCAAGCACAGGCTAGTGCTAGTAGTTTATTGAACACAAGCACTAAGTCTGTACCAAGAATTAGAAAACAACAACTTTCCCCCCGGTTCCTCTATCCTAGTTGATAATTGTTCCTGATCCCAAGCACAGGCTAGTGCTAGTAGTTTACTGAACACAAGCACTTAGTCTGTACCAAGAATTATAAAACAACATCTTTTCCCCGGTTCCTGTATCCTAGTTGATAATTGTTCCTTGTCCCAAGCACAGGCTAGTGCTAGTAGTTTAATGAACACAAGCACTTAGTCTGTACCAAGAATTAGAAAACAACAACTTTTTAGGTCTGTTTCTGTATTGAAGTTGATAATTGTTCCTCGTCCCAAGCACAGGCTAGTGCTAGTAGTTTACTTAACACAAGCAGTTAGTCTGTACCAAGAATTAGAAAACAACATCTTCTGTATCCTAGTTGATAATTGTTCCTGGTCCCAAGCACAGGCTAGTGCTAGTAGTTTAATGAACACAAGCACTTAGTCTGTACCAAGAATTAGAAAACAACATCTTTTCCCCCGGTTCCTGTATCCTAGTTGATAATTGTTGCTGGTCCCAAGCACAGGTTAGTGCTAGTAGTTTACTGAACACAAGCGCTTAGTCTGTACCAAGAATTAGAAAACAACATCTTTTCCCCCGGTTCCTGTATCCTAGTTGATAATTGTTCCTGGTCCCAAGCACAGGCTAGTGCTAGTAGTTTAATGTACAGAAGCACTTAGTCTGTACCAAGAATTAGAAAACAACAACTTTTCAGGTCTGTTTCTGTATTGAAGTTGATAATTGTTCCTCGTCCCAAGCACAGGCTAGTGCTAGTAGTTTACTTAACACAAGCAGTTAGTCTGTACCAAGAATTAGAAAACAACAACTTTTCCCCCGGTTCCTGTATCCTAGTTGATAATTGTTCCTGGTCCCAAGCACAGGCTAGTGCTAGTAGTTTACTGAACACAAGCACTTAGTCTGTACCAAGAATTAGAAAACAACAACTTTTCCCCCGGTTCCTGCATCCTAGTTGATAATTGTTCCTGGTCCCAAGCACAGGCTAGTGCTAGTAGTTTACTGAACACAAGCACTTAGTCTGTACCAAGAATTAGAAAACAACATCTTTTCCCCCGGTTCCTGTATCCTAGTTGATAATTGTTCCTGGTCCCAAGCACAGGCTAGTGCTAGTAGTTTACTGAACACAAGCACTTAGTCTGTACCAAGAATTAGAAAACAACAACTTTTCAAATCTGTTCCTGTATCCTAATTGATCATTTTTTCTGGTCCCAAGCACAGGCTAGTGCTAGTAGTTTATTGAACACAAGCACTTCGTCTGTACCAAGAATAAGAAAACAACATCTTTTCAAATCTGTTCCTGTATCCTAATTGATCATTGTTCCTGGTCCCAAGCACAGGCTAGTGCTAGTAGTTTACTGAACACAAGCACTTAGTCTGTACCAAGAATAAGAAAACAACATCTTTTCAAATCTGTTCCTGTATCCTAATTGATCATTGTTCCTGGTCCCAAGCACAGGCTAGTGCTAGTTGTTTACTGAACACAAACACATAGTCTGTACCAAGAAATAGGAAAAAAACATTCTTCTTCCATCTAAAAATATATTTTTAGCAAAATTCATTTACAATTAGTTATAAATTATAAAAGATGATGTAGGTATATATAGTTAGATGGAAAGTGACATCTTTCCTAGTGATATATGACATATTTGTACACCAAGCATTCATCCAAGCCCAGTTCCTTTTATCTTTAAAACATTAATCAATATTTTAACCAATCATTGAATTTGATTGGCCCTTGAGTGTTATATTGAGTGCCTATCATGACCAGTGTAGGAATAAAGGGGATAGTGAATTGGTTAGGTGATAATTGCTTTGTTTGTTCACTAATTGAGTGACATTTGGTTCACATTGTTTGTATTTTGTTTGTCAAACAAATATGGAATTAAGAAAAGTGATATTTTTTTGTCATTGATATTTATTTATTTATTTAATTGAAAATTTAATATGAATTTGATTTATATTGTTTATATTTTTATTTATATGTACTGGAAAATAACTTTATATTTTAAATGTTTTGTTAAGATTTTAATTCAAGTTTAAAGTATCAATCAAAATTATTTTATTCATTATGAAATAAAAAAATTGAAGTTTATACAAGAAATGCCAAATTCTTATAATTTTCAGTAATTGATGATGTTAATAAGTCCAGTATTCTTTTTAGGTCCTTAAAAAAATAAAGTGTAATCTATTAGAATAATTATGATATAGTCACATGTAACTGTTATTTTGTTTCAGCTTGAAACTTCAAAGGACCCGATAGCTGATTTTATTAAGTAAGTGATTTATATATAAGGAGATTATTATTAAAGGCCCATTAAGCCTCAAATATGCTCTACATCCATTTAAATCAATACACATGTTTTAGCATTTCTATAGAATTTTAAAAAAGTATGGATTTCTGAGTCATAATGTGCCTTTAAAATATAATACACCAATTGACAGTTTCAGAACTAGCAGACAACAGGCTATTCTTATCAGTAGAATTGGGAGTAAAGATAACCGGTTGCCTATCTCACTGTATAAATCGTAAAAAAGGCTAAATTCGTATTGTTTTAGCATTAGGAGATATAAATTTTACTCGAATATAAGGGAAACAACTCATATTTTTTCACTCAATATAACTTGGTTATTTACATAGTTCATATAGAGACTGCCAATGGCAGTATTGCAGGTCTCACTAGTTCAATAGTAAAAAGCCTCAACCGTTACCATGCTGAATTTGTTATACATCTTTCAATCTGAGCTTACTATTCTTCATTTTTAAGGAAATTTTCAACAAAGGACTGTCCGAAAAATGAGCATCTGATCTTGATCTGCACTGGTTGTACATGTTGATTCTGTATCCACTGTCAGGCTATATGTTAATTTTGTACCCTATAGTGAAATATTGCAAAAAGTTTGTTAAAGGCACATTATGACCCAGAAACAAATAAATATTTTCTTCTTACAAAAGAACAAACACAAGTTTAATGAGTATGAAATAGATGCTTATCACCTGGAAAAAAAGGAGCACTGAATGTAAAATTATTTGTAATGAAAGTAGCCAAATGTAAGCAAAATTACTATAAGTTATAACTGTCAAAAGCAACACAGGTAAAGATCGTTCAACTAATTGGCCAATGAGTATTGTTCAGACACTGCAGCAGGACACTTAAAACTTTTGAGAAATAAAAATAAAAGATTTTCTTGGACATAATGGGCCTTTAAAGTTATAAATAAACAGTATAGAGCCTGGTCAAACAATACAAATATCATTGGCCATGGTATATGGAAGTTATTGTTATCGTTTATCATGCAATGTGCTAATCATCATGCAACAAGATTAACTAATTTATTGTGTATTCAGCATTAATCTTTGGCCTGCTTGCCTGACCGTAAATGATTCTACCAATGCAGCCTGTACAGACCAAGATCAGCCAGTACTGTTGCACGATCTCTTTTATTACTGCTATTCATTCAGTATATATTTTGAAGTTTTGCCTAACAATGATGAATGGTTTTGTCCAGATTGAAAGATGGACAAGTCCATTTAATATATTGAACATTTTAAGAGTTGAATAATTTCAATAAAGTTACAGAGATTTTTTATTTAGCAGAAATGAACATATAATTTGCATTAAGTAATGTTTCAGAGCTGGAAAATCATGAATTTCATTTGCCATTTGATATGTCATCAAATCTTTTATGATAACACATAACATACATAAATAATGTATTACATTATATTAGTTAGAACTATTAATATTTTTTTTTTTTTCAGTTGTTTATGTGCGGATACAGTGTCCTTTGCTGGGAAATATACGTAAGCTGACTTTAATGTTAAAGACATAAAAGCACTGAAATTGTCAAATATTTATTGCAAGAAGATGCTGTCCATAGAAATGGCATTATTCTTACAAATAACATGTATTTATTATAATATAAAATACACTGTAATGAAAATTATTAATTACTGTATTCTAGTATATTGTTCATCCATGGCTGAGTGGTTAATGTTGTAGACTTCGAACCAATTGCTTCTCACTGCTGTAGGTTCGAGCTGCCTCATGTAAGAAACCTATCCAGCTTGCTTTTGGAACTTTGGTGGTTCTACTCAGGTGCCTCTTTGTGCCTAAAATAATGTACAGAGGGGCACCTGAGGTCTTCCTCCAGCAGTATAGCTGGAAAAACACCATATGACCTATACTGCATTGTTTCTACTTAAAGCCCAATAAAAAAAATGCAAACTAGTACATATATACTTTTTACAATAATTTAAAAGGAAACTACAAATAATGTTTTATCTTCACTGTTTGCTTAAGAAATAACATCGGCCTGAGAGGTGTATATCGGCTATTTAACACCGGTTTGGAGTTTTGATGCGTAGGAATTGACCATCGCATCAAAACAACAAAACCGGTGTTAAATAGCCGATATACACCTCTCAGGCCGATGTTATTTCGATTCTAACACGATAAAATAAGGAAAATCACTAATGTTAATTTTCAAGCGGAAATAACTTCCGGTGCCGATTTTCGTACAAGGCTGTTCAATTTTCGCGCCCTAATGTTGCGAAGATATAGAAATTATCAAACAAAAGAAATTATTAAAAAAAAACGTTATTTTATCAAGTTTTCAACAATAAAAACTTATGTCGTATTGTGTTTACATCAGGGCCCCATTTATCATTCTTGTATGTATGAATTTACGTCAGCTTGTTTATGAATGAGTTGTTTACTTAGGATGACGTCATTACGCTGCTTACGGATTGGCGCCATTTTGTCAAAATATTTATTAACTGATATGGATCTAATATGTGGCGTTAGTGTATGTGATATATTATTTCGGTATTGTATGAAAAGAACACATTATAAGGACAGAAAATATAATTAAAAATGCTTTTTATTGTTGCTTTAAAAGGCTTTGTAAACTATATAATCGAGGGTGAAAACATAAAAGCCGCATATACAAGTAGTCCCTAACCAGTGTTTATTGGCAGTTTAACACCGGTTTTTTACTTCTTTGTCTATAGTGACAAAATCACGTGGAGTGATAGAATTAAACATTTGATGAAAGGTTGATGTTAAAGAAAGCTTGTAACTTATGTGAACTACTGGAGTCTGTGCTCTTTCTGGTACTGGCATCATACAAGCTAAGTTGGTCATGATTCAAATGGGACTCGAACCCCTGATCCTTGCATCAAAGAGGCAGATAATTTAATCACTCACCTTTTCCCACTGTTATAGTTGTAGAAAAATGTAAGGTTTATTTTATTGTCTACTTTCATTATATCTATAAATAGTATCTTTCATAGTATCATGTGTTGTATATAATATTATGACTTTTTAAACAGGTACATAGAATTTATGGAACATTCCTCAGAATTGAACAATCTCAGCTCATTTCCCCAGTTGACAGAGAGAGCTAAATCTATTGGCTACAATATTTCGAAGGTGGTATTTCGGGGCTACTTTGCCCATGATAAGCTTCAGAAACTCCATGATGGTGCGATAGAAGTCAGAACAAGACTGAAGATAGCTGTGAGTTGTGTTTTATCATTTATCTGCTGTAAGCTTTTCAACTTCAAGTTTTTACTGTTAATATACATTATTACAGATATCTGATCTTTATTTTTCAACTTATTTGACAGAGTGGTTACAGATGCAAAGTGGTGAACATGTCGGACTAGTAATCTAAGGATTGCTAACCACATGGATTCAAACCCTGTCAGGGCAAGCCGTTGTTTCCATGAGCAAAAAACTTAACACTTATTGCTTATTACTGGTTGGTTCCAAAAGTGAAATCGATACTAAAATAAATAGGTTAAAGTAACCATTTACCTACTGAATTTCTTAAACAGACTTGTCAAGCTTCCAATTTTGGGACTGACTGTCAGTTATCAGTAACAGGGACATCATGATGAAAATTTTAAGTTAGTCAGCCAACAAATAGCATGGATATGCAGGCTGGCTTTGCACTATACTGGTGGCAAAGGTGCCAGTATGTGTAAGGTTAATGTTACTTGCTCACAGTCTTCATTGCTATGTGTTAAAGAAAATGAAAGTGACATTATGCCATTACAAAAGTGAATGCCTTCTCTATTAAAAGCTGGAAAATAGGTATGATGTCTTTATAGAGTATAATTTATATGTCAGTCTTCTACATAAAAATAATCATGAGGTCTTTATTGAGTAACTATGACAGTCTTTTACTTTTAGTTAAGTATCAGTTCAATGTTCTTTGTTGTTGTTGTTTTTTTGTATGAAAGTACTTCAGTACTTGGGGACCATACACTGCTATTTTTGGGAATACCTTGGAAATGTCACATTTATGGGTCCATTACCACCTTTCTTGTTATGTTTATCATTTATGGTTAAATGTCCATGGCCGAGTGGTTAAGGTTGTTGACTTCAAATCACTTGCCCTCATAGCCTACTAGAGATTTGGATTCTTTCATGTATGGAAGCTATCCAGCGTACAGAATGTCAGTCGTTCTACTCAGGTGCCCGTTCATGCCTGAAATAATGCACAGAGGGGCATATGAAGTCTTCCGCCACAAATAAATCCGGAAAGTGGCCATATGACCTTTACAGTGTTTGTGCGACAGAAAATCCAACATTAAAAAAGCAAATAAGAAATATTTATTGTTATGTTCTGCTTAAGCCGATGCTAGGGGTCTAGATGGCAGATTGCTTTTATCACAGCCGTCCTGGAAAAGGTCCAATCAAACTGACCCTGCAGAATTTTCAATTTGCTGTGTTCGGTGTTAGGGTTAGAATTCCATTATATCTATCTGTATATTTCTGTAATTTAGAATAATTGTGATGTTAGCTACATGTATATATGGATGATCCGATAAAATCATTGTTTAATATACATGATTGTATTTCTTTTCAGTATGAATCTGAAGAGCAGGATCAAAGAATGACCGACTTAAAACTGAAGAATGAAAAGGATAGAATAGATATGGGTATTGAAGTTTTTATAGACTTTTGATACCGAGCATAATTCTTTATTTTCCTTTTCAGATTTTTTTCAATTTTTAGTGATTCATTTAATTCATTTAGGCTTTTTGACGTCAGTGAGGCTTATAATGGCTTAAGTATGGCTTAAAATTATTGGCTTGTAGCTTTAAATTTGAGGTTGCTACGTAATATTGTTGATTTTTAACATGAAATGCTTGATTCCTTGCATGAAAAACTTGGTTCTTATCATGAAAGTGTTCATTTCTAGGATAAAAAGCAAGATTTCTAGAATATCAGTGTTGTTTTAAATGTAAAAGTGCCAGTTCCTAGCCCAAAATGCTTTGTTTCTAAAGTTGCTGGCAGATTTCTACTAAAAAAAATTAATTGATAGCTTGACTTTTTGAAGAATAGGGAGTTGGTGGCACACTTTATTATGCTTTTTTGTATGCAAATTGGTTTCTACAAAACTACTAAAGGGAATGAGTTGGAACTTCACACACTTATTTTAAAGCATAATAGGTCACTGTCCAAGGCCCATAACATTAATGTGGATATGACAGAATAATGGCTCTTTTTGAACTTAGAAAATTCAACATCATCCAGGTTTTTGTTTTGATATCAAGCACCTAAAATAGTCGAGCTCACTGTTCCACTGACAGCTCATGTTTTCATTTAATTATTGTGACCATAATTGAATCTACGTAACAAAGACAGTTGATTGTTGATTTGTTTTAAAATTTGTGTAAAAATTAATGTTCATAGAACAGAAGATTGAAGTAGAAGAGTTGACACATAGACATAGTATGGAAAAATCTAAGATAGAGCATAAACTAGAGATGGAGAAAAGATCTGAGGAAGATAAAAGACGAAAATGGGAGGTGGAGAGGAAAGGAGAATTACAGGTGAAAATTAACTCTTCGCGCATAATGCTCATGCACAGAGAAGTGTGTGTGTGTGTTGGGGGGGGGGGGGGGGGGTCATGATCACCCTCGGCTTTGACTATTCTGTTTTAGATTATGCATGAAAAAAATATATTACAACCAAGTTTGGATTTTAACTTATGTTTTTGTAGTGAAAATTGAGCAAAAATGAAATATTCTTTGCCGCCTCTTGGTGAAATATCCTGGACTCGTGGCTGATGTTTATACTTATTTAAGATATGTTTATACAGTAACTGCAATAATAACTTACCTGTGCTGCAATAGTGTGTTTATTTTTTGGATAAATATATCACAGTAATCATTTTGAATGTATAACTAAAGAACTAGACGAATTTTTCTTGAGGTCACAAATGAAAATCATAGAGTGAGACAAAAAAGGATTGGAGCACCACACTAAATACCGTATTCCGGTACATGCTGGACAAGACACTTGAATGATTAAATGCTAAAATCTCGCCTTTCCACCTTACAGAATGAACTTTAAAATGTCTAATTCATCTTTTCACACCAATTTTTAAACGATAAGGAATGAAAAAAGTGATAATCAGCAAAAAAAAAAAGACATATTTGCCTATTTTGTGATCATGATTTCTGCAAGCGTCCAGAGGTACTGCTCCAATCCTGTATTGAGTTAAATCCAAAATCTTTAGACTATTTTTATAAATTACAAAATTGCTGCGAGTTAATGTCTTAATATGAAACTGTCTAGTGCTTGCAGTGCAAGAATGTAAATAAAATTTCCTAATGTCAGATCTTTAGCTGTTAAAATTTGAATGTTATTGAATTTTTATAGATCATTAGATCATTTAAAATTGTTGATAAATTATGTTCTATGCTTGAACTGGTATAATATATTGTGAACATTCTGTAAAAAAAAGGAAATTAACATATGCACAATCTGTCTTCATGTTTCAGGCCACCAATTTGCAGGATGAGCAAAAACTAGACTACTTCAATAACCTACATGGTTTGGGTGTAGATTTAAACCAGTACATTCAGTCTCTGTCACCAAGGCCAGAGAAAATTACTCGGATTGTTGCCCCGGACAACTCCACAAGCCTTCATCTTCATCATTCCTGAAACAAAACTCTTAAATCTGTGATATTTCTTTCTTAAATTCAAGTAAATTTAGTGTTTTCTACAGCAAAATCTGTTGATGGTCTCTGATATAATCCATTTCCATGTATAAATGTTCAAGCACTTGGGTCAAATAAAAAGCAATTTTGTCAAATAAGGGTTGTCTCCCTTACACCATGAATGCATTATTATTGTAGAATGTATCATTGTTTATTTGTGGATCAGTTTATAAGATATTTATTTACTCTATCAGAGTTAATGTTTGTGGTTTCAGTACCGAGCTTAGATGCTTATTTCAAGTCGGCAAGGTTAAAGCAAAGCGACTTATACATTCACAAGCTTTTATGAGAATTGTAATGTAATACTAGAGTAACTGGCTCATGGATTTTTTTTCTTGGAAGTTAGTCTCTGAAAATAAAATAAAATGAAACGATGAACCAATAAGCTCACGACTAAAGTTGGTAATTTTCTATACTGATTTGACTTGTTGAAATACCATAGTTTAATTTAATGTATACTGGTAGATCTTTATTCTATGAAAAATGTTGAATATTATTCTTTTTTATCCTACATGTGTAATAGTGTAATATAATAATATTTATTATGTTTTATATGGACATATTTGTATTTTAAGTCAGTGATATTATACACATTTTTCTTTTCGTATTTAAATCCATATTAATTATTTTTAATATACCTTAGTTTTACTTTACCTTTGTTTTACAAGTTATCCTTTGTGTTTTTTTTTACTTCTGATATCATACATTTTATTTTTCATATTTCTATTTTTAACCTGTACATAATGTTACATTGTTGACCATTGTGTACCATTTTATTAACTTTTCTACTTTATCTTTATCACATTTATGTAGCAAACCTCGGATGACAGACTTGACTCTTATTATTTCATATAAAATATTATCACATACCTGTGCCGCTTTGACGACTCCTCAAAAATGGTATTGCACAGCTTTTCATATATTGCAGTATGTCATTTGTGTTATACAAACATAGTGTAAAAACACGCTTAATGTTAGAGTTATGCTATAGGAGTGTCGGGGGAAAAATGATTCTTTTTCACTTAAAACGGTCTTTATATTTAATTGGTATGTGATAAATAGAATATTAAATTTGTTTAGGTTCATTACTGAATTTATTGAACTCGTTGAATAAAATAATATTATGCTCGTCAGAGGCTCGCATAATATAGTTTTTTACAACTCGTTAAATAAACTGAGTATTAAACTTTCGGTCATTTAATATCCTCCATTTCTTTTGCATGTCAAGTTTAGCATAAACTGTTCCATATAATTTTCCAGATTAATTGTTAATTGAAAGATGTCACTGATAAAGTAAAGTGTGATTTTAAGTTAAATTAATCTTTCTCATAAATTAATCATTTTATTAAGTTATTTAAGTCATGATTGATATGTTGGAGGTGGGGATGGGGGTATCATCACAATGAAAGAATGATGATTCGATACAACAGTTATCGTTTCATTACTAGATTAGTTAGTCAATAAATGTGTTATTTTTCTCTCATGAAAAACATGATCAAATTGTGAATGTGATTTTCACATATTCATATTTGTTATTGTCTTGCTTATATTTATTATGTTATGTATGGAGTTGATTTTTATCAGATTGGGAATTTATCACTTTTCAGAATTCTTTACTATATACAGGCCATACTTGTATCTGTAATATTTTGAAAACTGCAATTTTTTTTGTATTTAAGTACATTGTATTAACATTATATATTAACAATTACATTTTGTATTGTTGTAATACCTTGAAGTCTTATACTTATTGTGTAGATCACTTTCTAAGTTTATTATAAATATAAGTTCTATTAAGAATATTGTGTTGTTATTTTTCCTGTACATTTCTTATGTCATCTTATGTAATATGTTTAATGCCCCTATATAATAATGCATGTTCATTATCACTGGAAAAATATATTGTTATTCAATTGTTTTGAATTTTGAGGGACAGATTACATGTACATGGAAGCTTATAATATCGCAAGTTTTTATTATAGTTTTTCATTGGATAATTGTGACGTTTATATAAACTATGTACACAACTGCTGTCAGTTTATAAAGTATTTTCATTTTTTTCTCCAGTTAATATTCTTGATGGGTTATATGTAAATGGTTGTTTGTAATATAACCAAAAATATAAATATATGCAAACAACCATTTATATTATTAGTTATAAAGAGTCTTGACAGGTATATATGGCCTTTATAATATAAACAGTTGTTTGAAACTATAACCCAAGCCACCAGGTGAGGGTTTTATTGCAAACAACCCTTTATATACAGCCATATGACCTGTAAGGAATATTTATAAAGAATTCATAATTCTGCAAACTTCCCTTTTAGAGTAAAAATGAAGATTTCTTCATAAATTGTCAGCAGCAGTGTATATAAAACTATAAAAACGTCACAATTATCCATTTAAAATGGACGTTAAAAACGTGCAGTATCATAAAGGGCCATATTACCAGTCAAAACAGTATGTCAAATATCTTAACAAAATAAAATCTCACACTTTTAAACTACCTAAGCTTTAAAATGCAACTACCACCTTGTAGTGGAATTAAGCTTTGCAATCCTGTTCACAGGAAATACAATATTATCCTTTACTTTTATAGATGGATATTTATGCCAGCTAATAGGCCTAACAAAACATTTAACAGAAATCTGTAGTCCAGCTTTATCTAGAGATATCAAATGTTGTTAAAAGTTTAAAAACTTTAATTGTAAACTCTACACAAAAACATTCAACAATTATTTGTAAGGGTCTTTCAAACAAAATGAAGTATGATTTTGCAATAGATCTACAACCATAGTTTAAAAGCATATTGCCTCTACAACAGCAGGTTAAAAGTGAGGAACTAATATGTAAAGAAATGAGTTTTATGTAAGATACCAGTAGGATAAAGAAATTTCCATTTTAATTTGAAATCATCATAAATTAATTACACTAATTCATGCAAAGACCAGGGCTTCCATTAAGTTTTAAATTTTGGAAGTCAGAGACTGCAAAATCTCTTGATATTAGAAGTCACATTAATATAGGTAAAGAAGGAAAAGTATTAGATTATGGAAGTCACAAGCCTAAATCAAGGAGTAAATAAACCCAAACTTCCATTAACAGACCCCTGCAAAGACCACAGATTGTGTGCACATTTTGTTCTATCCATGCTTGAAAATTATGTCCTGGACGGTCAGTAGACTCGGTACTCATACAGCGCACCAACACAGTTAAAGGTCATATGGCGACTTCCCAGCTTAACTGGTGGAAAATGACCTTAGGTGCCCCTCATTATTAATTTCAGGCATAAACTGGCATCAGAGTAAAGCCACCATGTTTCTCAGCTAGCTGGATGTCTTCCTCACATGAATTAATTCAAAGTCCCTGGCAGGATTCAAACCCACATCAGTAAAGAGCAAGTGATTTCAAGTCAACAACCTTAACTTTTCAGCCATGGATGCCAGAATCAACATTGCTTTAAAGTAAGAAAATCTTTGCTATTATACCGCAAGTACAAATCAGAACTAAAGTAATACTTATACTGTACACTAGTATATTTCAGTTTGAACAAGATAATAGGGCTACATGTAATTCAGGAAAGGGTTCAGATAAACAGTTTGAACTTGTAAAGAGAAAACCTTGAAACTCCAGTTGGATTGAACAGCCAGAGCCAGGTTATAGTAACAGATGATGCCAAACTATCACTTTGACCTTTATTCAGAATATTCATATCTACATGTATGCAAGTAAACAGGATATTTCCATGTGATATTTGAATGGTATACTTTGGAGTAAGCCTATTAATAAATGTGACCTTTTTAATATCAATGCAACATTTAAACAAATTACTTAGTCACTCTTAAAATGAATTGTTTCAGAATGTCTGTTTGGGGTCGGTCATATTTTAGTTAACCGCCCCTTGAAAGTAAGTCTGGCTACTTTGTATGTTGAAAGCGCCCTTATGACCAGGAATATCAGAATCATTGAACACTTGTTTTCAAAATGAATACAAGATTTCCCAAGAATTTAAGAAAATTTGCCAAGTATAGCATGCGACTCTATAAGAGAGTGACTTATTAGAAATAAACCTTGCTGCATTTATGCATCTGGAGGACTTGAGAGCAAATTGATCATTCCAAATGCAATGGGCGTTAAATTATTCTTGAAACTATGAAATATTTGTTCGCCACAAAATATCTCCTATAATAGACTTCTTCCAGAATAAAGAATATTTTAGGGTTTCCCAAGCTAATCCGTGGGTACAAACTTTTACAGTTACAGCTCCAAAAAACAATCGCAACAGATTGACTTAACCATTGTGATCGGTAGTACACCATAAAGCTTAAACAATTTAAAGTTTGTTTGTGCCAGGGAAGTAGCATTGGAAAACCCACATTTGCAGAGTTCAGGAATTTAACATCTTTTCAACACCAAGCTATTTTTCTCTTACCGAGATTCTGTATTTCCCTGAAGACCTATTCCATTGACAAGCACAATGATAACCCATCCTGGCTGACCAGGATATTCTGTTTTCAACGATTTGTGCATTTTTTGTAAAGGACTAACCAATGATCACCATGTAAAGCTTCATCAAACTCCATCAAGCGGCTCAGGTCAGGAGACGTCCTTAAGGATTTTTTCTTTTAAACACCCACAGGTATCTTTTTACAGTAACGTCAGAATAGTTTAGGTGATCGTCACTATTGGCCAAACCCTGATGTCAAGTTAAAAACGACAGACACTATGTAATCACAATAGCTTCCCTTGAGAACTTTGTGCTCAGGTAAGCAAATTATTTGAAATCCAATGCTCTTTAAAACAGAACCCAACTTTAAAATTAAAACAAAAATAATAACATGTCACATATGTTTATTTAAAAAGTAGAGAAGAATATAGAAATAAGAATAGAAAACAAGTGTCAATTAGAACCTGATTAATGCAGTTTAACTAAGAAGAAACATTTTAAAGAACAAACACATGTGAACATTTGAGTAAATAAAAGTTAACAACACTAGCTAAAATCACGTAGTTGTAAGTTATATCAACATTTAAATGCTGTCTTTATCAACATGGATCTGCTGTCATCACTGAATGATTTAATGATATTGATGAATTGATGAGGTGTCACTAAGAATCTGTGATGTAGTGAATGACTGATATTCCCTTTCAAATACCCCAACCTGTGAATGTGCCTGAAAAAAACAAGAAAAGAAAATAATCAAATAGAGTGTTGTTTTTTTTTCATTTGTGATATGCCATATTCAATTAATTATGAATTTAGTAAAGACATAGATCTTTATCAAATAGCATCTTTATCAAATAACAAGCTCCAAGTCTGCAAACAAAGATCTATAATTTATCTAATAAAAATAACAGAAAATAAGAGTAAAATTAGTTCTACATATAACTGCCAATGTAACTGCAGGGCCGAATGTATTTTTAGGAGTAGATTCTAAATCGTGCATAATGTAAATCTTGTATAGATCTTTAATTGTTAAAGAAAACGTAATGAACCTTATTCCGCGCCAAAATCTAGACATAATATTAATCCGAATGTGTGGTGGTCGAAAACCGATGCAAATTGTTTCTAAAAAAAAATATTTAGATCTAGTGATAGATCTAAATGATATTTATTTTAGATGGATAAATAAAGTATGTTAAAGCTTATTACCTAGTATTCTTGACTTTGTGATGAAGCCTTGCCTCCTTTTGGTGCACCACTTTTCTTTGGCAACAAGACCGCCTGAATATTTGGAAGAACACCACCCTGGGCAATGGTCACACCGGACAACAACTTATTCAATTCTTCGTCATTTCGGATAGCTAACTGAAGATGTCGTGGAATTATTCTCGATTTCTTATTGTCTCTTGCGGCATTGCCCGCCAATTCGAGAACTTCTGCGGCAAGATATTCTAACACAGCTGCCAGATAAACTGGCGCTCCAGCGCCAACTCTCTCAGCATAATTTCCTTTCCTCAATAAACGATGAATCCTTCCAACTGGAAATTGTAGTCCAGCGCGTGATGATCTGCTCTTAGCCTTTGACTTGGCCTTTCCACCTTTTCCACGTCCTGACATGATGGCTTCTAAATTTGTGATGTTGACACTGCGAGAAATGTTCAGGAATGGTGATCCAAGGGGTTTTCCCGCTTTTTATAGAATTTTGTGTAATGTCACTTTTTACCAATCAAAATCAATCCGCCAAAACCTTCGACCAATGAAAATTGGACACAGTCTGTTAAATCGCAATTTTGCGCCAATTTACATCACTTCCGGTATAAACTCTCGCGATAACTAACATGGTGGTCAACGTTGACATTTTGCAGTGAATTGTTAATAATTTTGCAAAATGGAGCTCTCTGATACCTCCCTTCATTTACTTATCAATGCAGGAATGTCCTTTATAGGCTTCCTTTTATGTCTGAACATTATTCCAAAATTTAGAGATATGTTCATCCGTGCAAATTTGTATGGAGTTGATATGAGCAAAAAATCTAAACTGAAAGTGTAAGTGACATTGGTTAATCATGTGTATTTTGATATTTTACTTGCAGTTACATTATGTTCCAAAAAAACAACAACTTTGCAAGTTAAAATTGCACATACAAACAAAAAATTGCCCCATTTGAGAATATTTTCTTGCCAAATAGACGTTATGTCAATATGTGCTTGCATGCTGTGTTCTGGGGCCGGCAGCTGTGTTAACGAATCCGGGTCAGCTCGGCCCTAAAACGTACTCGGCCCTCGAGTCAGCTCGGCCCTATTCCAACTCGGCACGGGTCAACTCGGCCCACTTTTCAATCATTAATATTTAGGTTTGTGTTATCAGTTTCAGAACTAGCAGCAGACAGGCTTTTCTTATCAGTAGAATTGCGAGTAAAGATAACCGATTGCGTATCTCACTGTATTTCTGACTCATGGTAGGTTTAACCGTATATTTAAATACCTTCAGTGTCGAACAATGTGTTGAAATATATACTTAGAGGAAGCTAAGATTCCCAGCTTTTAATTGGTGTAACAAATTTTAGAAGTACAATGTATAATGATATAGATCTAATATAATAAGATATTTCTTATTATTCATTTACATTAACAACATGCAAAGCAAAGTTAATACGTCATATATATTTTTGTAAAGTGGGCCGAGTTGACCCGTGCCGAGTTGGTATAGGGCCGGGTTGACTCTTTTCTGTGTTAACACGCAGGTATCCTGACTTTTACATGGTGCCCAGTACATATCAATGATACAACTGGTGGTTGGGTTGGTAGATTTCACTCCGTACACAGCAATAATTGAATTTACCAGAGCACAGTTCAGCCATTAATGTTCCTGTGCAGGCTGTAAAGCAGTTAACCAGTACCAGTTGCCTTTCACTTTCGCAAGGAACTGAATCTTCTGTACATACCATAGCAGTGGAACAGTACGAAAGACCATAGAAAAGATTTCACTATCAATCACAACAAAAGTGACCTGCACTGTCCGGGAATCAAATCTGGGTCACACGATTGTCTAAAATACCATTAGTATTGGTAGTGGAGGAAATGAGGATCTAACCTGCAACTTCTGGATAACCAGACCAGCACATTACCACTGGACCACAGATTCCCTTCTATTAACAAAGCTGGTCAAAATGCCTGATCTGGCTAACAACTTTAAAACTTATAAAAATTACATTTTTTGTCCAAAAAATGTTTCTTTCAAAAGCATAAATTAGGGATGTTACAAATTTTAAAAAAAGTTAAATTGTGAGGTGCTTTCTATTTTGTAACAATTATTCAACATTTTCCTGTTTTTATAACACATGATATCAATGGGTGGCCATGATTTGTTTCCCTTAGAATTTTCACAGTGCTTTTTTGATAAACCATATTTTCTAATGATCCAATATTTTTAAATAAATATCCAAACGTTTTCTTTCTTTTCATTTCTTGAGACTGTGTGACATACATGTACTAACAGTGTTGACTCTAGGACAGGAACAAATTTAGGGCACCCAACAATAAGTCAATAACAAAATATTTACAGATCTATAATGCAAGACTTACGTGTAAAACAAATCAGATCCAAAGGCAATGGCTTACTAATGCTCTAAACTTTTGCACCAGGCAGTACGTCAGCATTCAGAAAAAAATTGTATAATCTGAATTCATTCTATATAAAAGCAATGAAAACTGTTAAATTCGGGGTTTTCAAATCTTATGATATTTTCACTTTTCACCCATGAAATTGTGTTTTTAAATACATCAGCATACCAAAATTACTTGTAAAAACATTCATTTATCCAAATGTGTGTTTCAGAAACAGAATTTTAAATTCACAAATATGTATATTGACATACTAGATTGGAGCAAAAAAAAGCTCTTGAACTCCTTTTTGTTTAAACCTTTGTAATACAAAATAAATTTTATAGACTTCAAATATTATGTGTCTTTAAAGTTTTAAGAAATTGTGCATGTACATGAATGGGAAGTGTGTCAAAAGTTGTGTAGATAATAATATCAGTTATTTGTATATGATTATATGTAATTATGTTCTTATAAATGTAATGTCTCTGCAACAAAAACACATAGTAAAGAATATAATGCTTTCATTTACAGACCAGAGGCAGCAGGTGTGATATGTGGTGCAGTATTTCTAGTTATCATGTTCCTGTTTATACCGGTACCATTCTATAGACATCTAGCTGATCCAGCTAATAAAAACTTCCCCCATCATGAGGTAAGCTGAAAAATAATGGAGAATAGCATGCTTTAAATGTGTAAACTGTTTTTAGCTCGACTATACGAAGTATATGGAGAGCTGTCCTACTCGCCCCGGCGTCGGCGTCCGCGTCCGTCCAGATTTTAGATTAAAGTTTTGGTGCAGTAAAATATTTTTCACTATAACTTTGTCATTTCTTAAGGTATCAACTTCAAACTTCAAATATATGTTCCTTATCATCAACCACATCTTATGTGACAAGGTTCATAACTCTAGCACCAATATTTTCAGATTTATCTCCCCTTGAACTTAGAATTTTCCTTAAAAAATACTATTTTTTACTGTTACTTCTTTATTTCTTAAGGGATCAACCTCATACTTCAAATATATGTACCTTATCAACATTCTCATCTTATGGGACAAGGTTCATAACTCTAGCACCAATATTTTTAGATTTATCTCCCCTTGAACTTAGAATTTTCCTCAAAAAATACTATTTCTTACTGTTTCTTCTTTATTTCTTAAGGGATCAACCTCATACTTCAAATATATTTACGTTATCATCATCCCCATCTTTTGTTACAAGGTTCATAACTCTAGCACCAATATTTTTAGATTTATCTTCCTTTCAACTTAGAATTTTCCATAAAAAATATTATCTTTTACTGTTACTTATTTATTTCTAACGGGATCAACTTCATACTTCAAATATATTTACGTTATCATCATCCACATCTTATGTGACAAGGTTTATAACTCTAGCACCAGTATTGCAAGAATTATCTCTCCATAAACTTAGATTTTTTACTAGAAAATTGTTTTATTTCTTATTATAACTTTTTTATTTTCAAAGGTATCTACGTCAAACTTAAAATACTTATTCCTTATCATCAATTACATATTACGTGACAATGTTCATAATTCTTGAAGAATATTAACAGATTTATCTCTGTTTGAACTTAGGATTTTCTTTAAGAAATATAATAACTTCTTCACTTTTAAAGGTATCTACTTCAAACTTCAAATATATATATATTTCTTATTATACACATGTTGTGTGACAAGGTTCATAACTCTACTCTAGCGTGACTATTTCTAGAATTATTCCCCTTGATCTTTGAATTTATTTTTATTTACTTTAACTTAATACATTATAATACCTAATTGATTTTTCTTTCATAGTTTTGTCCTCCTTACTGCGTCCAGTATTTTATTAGTCCAGCTTCGCTGTCTCCTGTGACAGCTCTTGTTTGTGATCCACTCTTCAGGTATTGTTATCGTATATTTTATATGCCTACCTATAAAATGACCGCTAGAAAAACTGACATTCCCAAAGTCTGGATGGTATTTTTCTTCTCAATTTAGTCAAGAAAAATAACCTCTTGATTGCCATTTTTTGAAGTTTCATTTCAATATGTACATTTTTGTACTTACAAATAGTGCTAGAAACAGGTCAGTGGTTGAAGGGGGTCATTGGTCAGTTCAACTTTTGATAGTATGAGATTATCAGAGAATGACCAGTGTCTACCATGATTAATTTTAATAATCATTGATTCATTGCCTTTTATTTGTTTCAAGTTTTACATTTATAGATGTACGCTTTTCAAGTTAAGATGCATTTAATGTCAATAATATTACGCAATAAGTTTTACAATAATATTACGTAGTAAGTATGACTTTCAAGTAAAGAAGATGTTCAATATCAAGAATATCACACAATAAGTTTTATGTTATATATTTTATATTATTTACAGTATATAGAATACATAGCTGCTCTACTGTCAATATGCTGTATGATATTTCTTGGCTTTGCTGACGATGTTCTAGCGCTCAAGTGGCGTCATAAACTCTGGTTACCAACTATTGCTTCTCTACCACTATTGATGGTGTATTTTGTCAACTTTAACTCGACTACCATTATTGTTCCACTGCCTTTCAGACCATTCCTTGGCTACGATACAGACTTAGGTATGTTTGTTTGATTAATTAATTAATATGGTATTGGTAACTATGTAATAAAAAGTTAAAATTGTTATGCCATAAAAATAATCAGTGATTTTCCTACTTATGTAACAGACTCCATAAAAAGGCTCTTCCCAATTCAAATTTCATTAAAATCATGCGGTTATCCCAAAAATCTGAACCTAAACCAGCTTTTTCACTTCCCAAATCAGCAATTTTAGCGATAATTTTCCCAAAATCAAGAGGCTTAGGCCTCTTCCCAATTAAGTGGGAAAAATCACTGATAATTAATTAAATCATTTTGTTGCTCCAAGAGAAAACTGTTGTTTAGCAATATAATGCAATAATGTGATACAAAAATTGTGAAATGTAAAATTATGTAGAACCAATGTTAAGTTAACTTTAGTCTATTTAACGCATATGCTCACAGAATTGAGCTTGTAAGATTATTTGATCCTTGTATGACTACATGCTGTGTATTCATATAAAATTTTGGTTCACCAGGTATACAAACAGTTATTCTTCTATTGCCATGTAAAAATGCATAAACAATTCGCTAGTTGTATATACAATGTATTTTGCTACTAGTGACATTACAAAAGATGTGTTGTCATTATAACGTTACACATGTTGTGTATTGTACATTGTGTACTTACAATATACACACCTATTTTGCTGTATGACACGTAATGTATATATTTGAACCATAAAATTATGTTGTTGACTGGTGGCTTAAACCACTAATAAACTTAAAACTTGTGACATTTTCAAAGTCTTATTCACAATTATGAATCTATAGATCTTTTTATTATAATGTCACTTGTAAATAAGGTAAATAGATTAAAATTAAATAAGGTTATCATAAATAAACATCACAATGTTCTTAATTGATATATGTAAAGTTTATAAAATTCATGTGTGGGGTTTTTTCCACTCTATAAAATTTTGAGTTGTCGGGTTTTGACATGTGGGGTTTTGTCCTACATTCCGAATTTCGATTATCTTATATTGATATTGCTAAAGTTTTAAAAATCTGTTGCCAACATAATTCTTGTTGACTTTACATATATCAATAATATATACAGCAATAGTAAATTGTTTTATTATAATTTATTGAACTTCTTATTAAATTATTGAGGTAACAATGTTTCAGATGATGAATATTATAAAAAAAAAAATTGATCTACTATTTAACAAAAAAATGAGATATAAAGACAAAAAAAATATATTGGTTATTATGTAAAAAAAATAAAATTGAAATTGTTTTTCCAGGAAGTGTCAAATTACAATTATAGCTTGTGATACATTTGAGTGTGTGTGTGTGTTGAGTTTATTTACCCTCGCCACCGGTTAAAAACCATATGGGCGAGCATATGCTTCATTTATCAAAGGGAAAACACTTTATTTAGTTAATATCTGCATATGTGACTAGTGAGTACAATATTTCCTGCCCCAACAATGCAAAATAATTGCACTGAATGGGGCCGGAAAACGGTGGGATTACATCCCACACTAAGATTAAAAAGCTGTATTTAAAATTTAAACTTAAATTAAAAAGGGGGGAAGACGCTTATACGCGGACGTCTTCTATATAGGGAACAAAAAAAAAAACCCCTAATAATTATGTTTAATGATAGCTTCATTTATTGCAAATCATATTTATAATGTTAAAACAAGTATTAAAAGGGGGGAAGACGCTTATACGCGTACGCCTTCTATAACAGACCAACACAGTTAGATTTGTAGATCTTAGTTTTCTATAAACTTTATTTAACACATGAGAAGGTTTATAAATATAAACCTTAGCAACACGCCCGAGAACATAGTTTTTTACAATTGGCCATCATTTAATAATTTACTTTTCGTAGGGAGAACAGTGCAGAAACGATTTTGACAGATAGCGCCGAACCACGTTTAGTAGGTAAATTTTGATTGGCCGAAAAATGGTGTGATTTGTATGGCTAATTAGGGATAAGATATGATTGGTTGATAGTAAACAGATTTCATTGGCGCATTTACTATCCGATTTTGGAGCTTAGCTCGAAGAATTTTGTGATCTAGACCACGTGGTCTCTGTATTGACATTTCTGAACCGTCTCCCATATAGTGCTAAAAATAGTAACAACGGTGTCTGTTGGAGACCAACCACGACACGGCTGTTTAAATATTTAAAAACAAGGAGGGGAATAGTACTGATACAATTGGTACATGATCTTATAAGAATAACAATGATATTCAGTAATTATATTGTTATTCTAGACTCTCTATAGACCTATACAAAAAGAATATAGAGAGATAGAAAAATTATACCCTAAAATGGCTATTAATAACTTGCTTAGTTACCTACAATGTGATGAGTACTGCCTTTTAGAGAAGAAAAAAGCTGCCTCATACTTGTTCTACTCAATGAATTAACGTATGCTCCATTTTTGTCATTGAGTAGATCACAGTATAAACTGTTTTATAAAATATTTGTTTATATGGGTACAATCTGATATGGAGTCTTTGCTAACATTAAGGTTGTCTTTAAGAAAAAAGAACAGCATTGTAGTCCATAGGGACTTGTTATGCTTGTTTTGAAATAGAATAGGACATCCTTAATGTGATGAAGTCCTCTTATTAACATATAAAAGAAGACTTCATACTTGATTGAGCCCTATATAGCCTTTGCTCCATATTATTGAATAGGGCTCAATTTTAACATATAGTATGTTATAGATTGTACCCTATATAAGAAAGAATAAAAATTAAGAAGATATATTATATATTATATATTTACAAACAGACCAGCTGTTTATTATTTACAAGGGATAAAAATATAGATAAGAGGTATAAAATGGAGACTTTATGTGACATTGTAGGTATCATGTAGCCACAACCCAATTTTGTTTGATCATGTACCAGGGACAATAAAAATAAGTGATAGTGTACAGTCAGTATTTAAGAAATATGTATTAAAATGTATTAAAAATGTAAATAAATAAGCAATATATAGTTGTCTCACCGTTTAACGGCCACTTTTTAGGACCACTTTTAAAATTTAATTACATGTAATAAAAGAAACAATAGATTATTTACAATAAAAAGTGTCTGACCTGTACACTATTACAACTTTTAAAAAATTTATATTTAATGGAGCTCATAGCTATTATCACAAGAATAGAACAAAATAAAACAATAAAGTAATGATGGCAACACCCATTGGCAGGTAATTGGAAAATTTATACACCTATATGGATATACCATATTCTACATTAATAAAACTGGCTCTCTTGGATCCAAATGATAATTAGTTGAAAATAGAACAATACCAATTAAAGCTATTCATGGAGGAAATATGTACCCAAGGAAGGACATACCACAAATTACCTTAAAATAGTACCATTAAAATAGGTATTAATCTAGTACCAAATTACCAACATACTTATGTGTATTTATACTATATGGAAACAGTTGAATATTTAATTAGGACAGCATTGGGTCAAGTTTCCCTGAGGTACGGCCTGTCCACACGCTCAGTTCAGCCCGCCCCATATCTGTCCCCATCAAAATCTAATTGAAATATTTTATTTTACATTTAAATTCTACTCTGGCACCCAGGTTGGTAAAAGATGTAAACAGATTTCAGTATTTTCATGTACAATGTTGGTTTCCCCTCTGACAGGTTATATTTTTTATGTTTCTATGTATATAATTTCATTTATTACAGTAATTGGGGACACTTTGCCATTTATTTCTTTAAAATTCATTTGTATTACATTTCATATGTTCCTTAATAGTTGAACTAAGTATGATTATAGAGTAAAACCAATAATAACCCAAAAATTCAAGTATTGGGAGGACAACTCCTACTTGTACCAGAAATTTACCTTTTCTAGCTATAATTCTTATTTTCCTCCTATCCTATTCTCAAATATTATCTTAAACTTGTTAAAATTACATATTTATATCCTATATAGATCATATTATAACCATTTGATCTTATTATGGCCATTATTAATTATATCAAGCAGCAAATTGAGAAAATATACTTCATTAATCCAAGTTTGAGTTGCTTCCCTTGTACTATTATCTGAAATTTAGTGATTTAAGTATTAAGTTTATGTGTCATAGGTAATTGGCCATATCTTCTTTAAAATTTAATGGATTTTGATGGAATTTTCTTTATTATCTCATTAAAAGATTGCTCTTAATTATTATAGTGATGTGGCATTTGTAAATAGAGAACTTTACTTTTTGGGGGAGTTTAAGTTGGTGAAATTTTATTGTTTATTGTTAAATTGACTATTTACCACATATTAAATATGCTGTATAGGGAAACAACCATAACTTTTTTAATAAACCACATACAATAATGAAAATTCTTTTAATTAGACACTTAATGGTGTTAGTTAATTATAATTAATTAATAGTTTGAATATTTCAATTGTATTTGGGTTTAATTTTTGGTTTTACTGGGTCATATTATGTCAATAAATAGAGATTTCACTGATTATCCTAAATATCTCTATTATGACTAATATACTGTCATAGATGCTAATTAAGCATTTTTTTTCTAAACTAGCTTATAATCAAGTTTAAATCTAATGGTTTGAGTTACCAATTAGCCATTAGTAGAAATTGGATACTTATTTAATATATTTGATGTTATCAAAACTATAAATTCATAACAAAGACCGGTATCGGGGGACTGAGTATGCAAACTGGGTCCCATTAACACCTAATAATAAATTAAATTGATTTATACAAATAATGCAGTCTTTATATTATTGTCAGAGGGGATGGAAGGTGGGATTTTACATTAAAGGCCAATCATGACTTCATATGTGAATATGACTGCTGGGATCAAGGTCACAGTTGTATTTGAATAAAAATTAACATTAAAGGCCCATCACTACTATAATTAGTGATATGGGTTATTATTTGTTTAAATTTTGTCTGTTAGACAACAGTTAAGAATGAATAACTCTAAAGCTTTAAAAATATGTACTGAATATTTCTTTGGTGGGTTTAGAATATTTTGTGTGCTATATCCCAAACCTACAGCACCAAGTGCCGACTGCAGTTCATATCTATGGTCCCTGAACTGGTCGCACTCATGCAATAGGTGGGATATATTATATCTCACTCCACATTGGGCACAATTGGGGCTCATTTTCTTGATATATTGACCAGAATCCCCTGGTAATAGGGTTGTGCCCAACCTCAGTCTTGTTATGGCCCTATCTATTTTTAAAATATTTGAATATTGAACTGGGCGACTGAGCCCCACTGAGCTATTTATATGTTTCCTCTGATCCTGGCATGAATTGGACTCAGTTTGCCACAAATGAACTATATATTTTTTTATTTTGGAATATATCTCAGTGGGGGAGAGTGAGATTGATTCAGTGACATTGTTGAGGTTTAAGCCCATTTTGGCCGCCCTGTCTGCCTGTTCATTGCCTGAGATCCCTATATGTGCTGGACACCAAACTATGGTAACCTGTTTTCCTACATTTAGGACTTTATTATATAATAGAATTATTTCATTTAATAAATCTGGTCTCGACTGACTGTTGTTGGATTTCAGTGAGATCAGTGAAGAAAGTGAATCCGAGAAAATGACAGCTTTTGTTATATCACTGTCCTGAATCCAGCACATAGCATTTCTAATAGCAAGGAGCTCGGCGGTATAGATGGATGTATTATTAGTTAACCTATCAATTTTTTCATATTGTATGGAAGGTATTACTACAGCCGAGGCAACCCTGCCAGAGTCCGGGTCTTTTGATCCATCTGTATAAATATGTGTTTGACCTATATATTTGTTAATTAATATTTTTGTTTCTGTATTTGCGAGATGCGGCAAATCAGATTTGTTCACTTTTTCTTGTAACGTAATGTCGACCTCAGGCAAGGTTAGGGTCCACGGCGGAACCTCCATGGGCCGCTTCTCAACAATGCTTGAATCCTTAATACCACAGTCCTCCGCTAGGTCCTGCGTTGCAGCACCAAAGGGGAGGACTGGGTCTTTAAACCTATTTAGTGTATAGTGGCCTTTTCCCAGCAGTCCACGGACCGGGTTGTCTGCCGCAGAGGCTCGAACCCGGGTATAATATTTTAATGTTTGTGATTTCCTCCTTATTGATAGAGGTACTATACCGGCCTCCACCTCCAGGTCCCTTGCTGGTGTGGGGTGAAGGGCCCCCAGGGCCAATCTGAGGGCAGTGTTTTGTACGGTATCGAGTTTATTTAAATGTGTTTTCTTAGCACAAGAATAGATCTGAGCACCATAATCTATCTTTGAACGTATTAAGGATTTATATAGGAGTAATAGGCTATTCTTATCAGTCCCAAAATCAGTGCCTTTTAACATCCTCATGACATTTAAATCCTTTTTACATCTGTTGACCAAATCATTGATATGCGGCCCGAATGTTAATTTGTCATCTAAAAGTAAACCTAGAAATCGGACCGTTTTAACAAATTTAATGGGTGTACCACCTAAAGATACGTTCAAATTGTGCTTTTTTTGATTACCAAATACAATACCCACAGTTTTAGTTTCAGATATTTTAAAGCCCCATTTTTGTGCCCATCCCCATAGTGAGTCCATGCCAGCTTGTGCATCCTTGGCTAGCTTAACCAAATTGGACCCAGATTTCCAGGTGCTGGAATCATCAGCAAACTGGCTAATGACCATACCAGATCCTGAGAGAGATTCTGGTAAGCCGTTAATAATAATAGAAAATAATAACGGCGAGAGGATCGAGCCCTGGGGTGTACCACGCTCCACTGGCTCTGTATCAGACATTGAACCCTCAACTCGAACCGATATTTTCCTGCCCTCTAGAAAAGACCTTAAATACTGGAAGCAGGCACCTGTCACACCATGTTCTTTTAACTTGTATAAAATACCGAAGTGCCATGTAAGATCAAAAGCTGCTGTCAGGTCTAAAAAGATAGCTAGCACTGATTGTGATCTGTTTTTTGCTAGGATCACGTCGTGTTGCAGTCGAGCAAGCTGGTCTAAAGTGCTCCTACCCTTTCTGAATCCAGACTGAAAGGGGTTAATAATGTTTTTTGATTCCAGCAGATATTCTAAACGGGCCTTAACCATTCCCTCAAGCAATTTTCCTGAGTGAGATGTAAGGCTAATAGGTCTATAAGATTTTGGTTCTGTTTTGTCTTTGCCATTTTTGTATATAGGTATGACACATGCCTCCTTCCAAGCATTGGGGTAAATCCCCTCAACCCACACCTTATTGTACAACCTGAGCCAGATGTCCAGCACCCCCCTTGGCAGGTGCTTGAACATCTGGTAGGTTATTCCATCCTTTCCCGCGGCGGAATCACGCCTTTTATTCAAACATGACCAAAATTCCGTGATAGTAAGAGGTAAATTTAAAGGCGTGTCATTTTCCCCCGGCTCATATATATTTTTGTTTTGTGACTCAAACTCTGCCTGGTATCTTAAGGTGTCTGGTAACATGTTTGAGTCACTGGAGACCTGTTTGTAGTGCTTTACTAGAAATTGAGCCTTTTCAAAGGGAGTTTTAGCATAATTTTGATTTAATTTTAATAATGGTACAGGATTTGTAGCAGAGCCTTTAATTCTTTTAATTTTCTGCCAAAACATTTTTGCACTACATTTCTGAGTGGACACTGACTCACAAAACTCTGACCAGTTTTCTTTTTTAGCCTGTAATATAGTATGTTTACAGTTAGATAGATTTGATAATTGATATTGTTAGGTAATTGACCAATAATTGTTATATACTGGCCTGTCACCAGAAATAAGACGGCAGGGGTATACACACCACATTGTGTTTATTTCTTACATGATACATCTGGTTTTATCTTTTAATTATCAGCGGGAGATGATTTAACAAAAAAAGTCTAAATTAACAATGTATGTGTTGGGGGAGGTGGGGGGTATTATTTCTATATTTCCAGTGAAGTCATGTGCTACAATCTAGCAATGACTCCTTGCTGATTTACACAAAGATAATAAAAATTAATACATCAGATAAGGGTGAGATGGAAAAAAAAAATTTGCAGACAAAATCCTGATTGTTCAGTAAATGTGTAAAATTAGAAAGTCTTATTTTCAGAATGACAACTAAGTACTGAGTGGCAGCATCCGTGGCCGAGTGGTTAAGGTCGTTGACTTCAAACCACTTGCCCCTCACTGCTGTGGGTTTGAATCCCTACAGGAGCTTTGAATTCTTTCATGTGAGGAAGCTATCCAGCTAGCTTACAGAACGTCGGTGGTTCTACTCAGGTGCCCGTTCGTGCCTGAAATAATGCTTGGAAGGGCACTTGAGGTCTTCCTCCACCAGTAAAGCTATTATAATACATGTAGAATATATAGGTAGATCTATATGTTGTATATATAGGGTTTTTGAAAACTTTCAACATCTGAAAGAGTGTTGTGTATTGACTTTATCAGCAACAGGTCTCCTCCTAATTAAGGATTTTCGATGGAAACGAACATTCCAAAATTTCTATAAAGTTACTGGATATGTATAAACTGGTTGCATATAATGAATTTGTGTTGATTGATACATTTTACTTGGAGATATAGACAAAGAACCTCAGTTGATATTCAAAAAACAATATAATTGTAGTAATATGAGAGCTTTTTGCATACTAATCAAGAGTCTGTAAATTAAGCCTTTTTTACATTTTACCAAAAAACCAAGCTAGGGTTTCTTTGTCAATAAACAAATATTTGTAGTATGTATTTTTCTACTTGGTTTAAGTGACTATAATACTATAGGTAGACATTGACACCTTATTATTAAAAGCTTTAGTCTTAATCTAAATGATCTCCCTTTTACAAAATGCATATTACGTAATTAAGAAGGATGTACAGCTTAAAAAGTTGTTACAGTGTTGAAATGACATTGTGTATAAAGGAGGTGATGAATTACCATTACTTGTAACAGGAAGTATTAAGATGGCAATAATGAGTTTGTATCATGAATTGGAGTTAGACAAATGCTCCCTTCTTTATGTAGAATTTTAATATCCCAATGGTTACTGGTGTAGAAAAAATAAATTTATACATTTTTGTTCAAATATCCTTTATTTTTAAATTGATGTCTTTCATGTTTAATACAGACATGCCTAGGGAGGTCTTCTTCCTCAGGTCTTGGTTAGGGGTTATTTGGGTCAAGGTCAGGTATATCTAAAAAGTTAGTCTAGTCAATGAACTGTTTTATGCCTCAAAAACACATATTTATAAACAAAGATCTTGGCCAATGAATAAATTTTTGGAAACTATTAAAGTCAACTAAAAATAAAAAAAACTTTCGAGAGAAAAAAATGGAAGTACATGATTCAGGGCTACAGATAACATTTTGTGTATATTGGGTAATTACCCCTTATTTTGTGATCTATTGGGTTTTTTCTGTATTTTTTACCCTACCCCCTCTAACCAATTTGGGTTATAAAGTACAAGTTCATGCATTTTACCCAAAATTTTTGACCTTCATTGTAGACATTTGCAGGTTTTGTACGGTAATAAAAAAGCTACTTACTACTTTGCTTTATGGTTTATTGGCCTAGGAGATTTCCAAGTTGCCTTATATAATTTAAAGGTTAAAACAGTCTAAAACAGTATGATCTGCCTGCTGTACGCGTTAAGTAATAATTTTCGTCATTACGCACCAGTTCAAATGTAGTTTGTATAAATAAGAATTCATTTGCTTTTTCTTACCCTTAGTTATTATTTCTATTGGGTTTTTAGACATTTTAATTGGGTAATAACGCAAATACGCATGTTATCTGCAGCCCTGATGATTGTATTCCTTAGGCATAATGGGCCTTTAATTATAATTCTGTATTTATTTCAGGTATATTATATTATGTTTACATGGGGATGTTAGCAGTGTTCTGTACAAATGCTATCAACATTCTAGCTGGTGTAAACGGGCTGGAAGCAGGACAGAGTTTGGTGATTGCAGTATCAGTTCTCATATTTAACTTCATAGAAATCTCAGGTAAATAAGAATATTTGTTTTATCATTGTTTATATTTATACTATATTATCATTAGTAATTAATCAGATTTGTATACAAAGGGCTCAGCATATTTCACACTATCTCTCTCCTTCACACCACCCTAGTTTTCAGCTCATGAGTCTGCACAGTACATGTATGCCCCTCCCTTCCTCGAATCTCAAGTCCCTTTCCCTTGTGCCCTTTTAATTTGTAGGCCTATTTATCTAGCAATTATTTGTTTTCTTTAATTTCCTTGTCGTTAACTATTTAATTTCCTTGTTGTTTACTATTTTATTTCCTTGTCAGTTACTTTTTTTTTTGTGCCCCCACTTTAGTGGCGGCCATTTAGATTTACCCTTGTCCGTCCTTCCTTCCGTTCTCTTTTGTGTTGCACGTAACTCAAAAAGTATTTGACCTATAGTCATGAAACTTCACAGGAATGTTGTTCAGCATATGTAGTTGTGCACCTGGGTATTTTGGTATGGATATTTTTAGTATTTTAAGAGTTATTGCCCTTGACTAAGTAAAATTTTGCAATTTTCAATTTGTGTTGCATGTTACTCAAAAAATATTTGACCTAGAGTCATGAAACTTTACAGGAATGTTGATCAGCATATGTAGTTGTGCACCTGGGTATTTTGGTATGGATATTTTTAGTATTTTAAGAGTTATTGCCCTTGACTAAGTAAAATTTTGCAATTTTCAACTTGTGTTGCATGTTACTCAAAAAGTATTTGACCTAGAGTCATGAAACTTTACAGAAATGTTGATCAGCATGTGTAGTTGTGCACCTGGGTATTTTCGTCTGGATTTATTTAGTATTTTTAGAGTTATTGCCCTTGACTTAGTAAAATTTTGCAATTTTCAACTTTTGTCGCATGTAACTCAAAAAGGATTTGACATAGAGTCATGAAACTTTACAGGAATATTGATCAGCATGTGTAGTTGTGCACCTGGGTATTTTGGTCTGGATATTTTTAGTATTTTTAGAGTTATTGCCATTGACTTAGAAAATGTTTGCAATTTTCAACTTGTGTCGCATGTAACTCAAATAGGATTTGACATAGAGTCATTAAACCTTAGGGGAAGGTTGATCAGCATATTTAGTTTTGCACCTGGGGTTTCGCTTGTGGATTTATCCAGTATTTGTAGAGTTATTTCCCTTGACTTTGTAAAAACTGTTTCATAATGTTGTTATTTGTTTCTTGAGTGCTTGAGTTAGAATCGACCAACTTTACAAAATCAACATCACTAAATTACCAGAATAATGATTCACATCACTGTGAAGCTATGAACCTGGGACTTTGCATGTGGATTTTTTCAGTTTTGTTAGAGTTATTGCCCTTGACTTACAGTAGTATAAATTTGCAATTTTCAACTTGGGGTTTGCTTGTGGATTTATTCAGTATTTGTAAAGTTCTTGCCCTTTACTTAGTAAAAGATTTTTAGTTTTCAAAAAATATTTGACCTAGAGTCATGAGATTGACAGAACAGTGGGGCGGTGGGGGCACCCGTGTCCTATGGACACATTTCTAGTTTAAGTATCATTTATGTGATTATCCTGTCTGTGCTGTGCTTATTTTTGTTTGGGGTCCTCCAGGGCTATTTGTTGCTAGGCCGTTTTGGGGTTGCGTTCATTTAATGCCGCCTTTCCTTGTTGATCATATCTTATGTATAATAGTGAAAATTGTCAGGGTTTTCAAAATAATGGGAGGGGAGTTGTCCAGGTTAGAAAATAAGTAAGGAGATTTGTCAGGGAGGGGAATTGTCCAGATCCCCAAATCACTCAGGCTAAGTTTGATAGAATACTTAAGAACTGTTGATAAATCACAAATAATTAACCTCAAAATTATGTTAGTATAATTTTGTTTTCCAGGTGACTGTTCTGCTGCTCATGTATTTAGTATATATTTTATCTTGCCATATGTTGGAGTGAGTGCTGCGTTATTTTACCATAACTGGTAAGTAGCTTTTTTAACCACTTTTTTACCCTTAACCTGCTATATTTCTATAATGGATCTATCCAGCTTTGAATTTGACACACTCCATTCAAAGTAAAAGGGATTTCAATATAAAAATAAAAAAATTAAGCTGCCAACAGTATATAGCCTGGTCAGATTGTACAGATATGCAGGCTGACCAGGCTCTATACTGGTTGCAATGGCTGGTCACTTGGTTTCCAGCAGGTTATAGGATGACCACTTTAACCACTTGTGTTTGTTGAGACAGAAGTAGTTATTGAACTTAATTAAAGTTTTATCTGCTTGGTGTTCAGATTTATTTTCTTAGTTAGACCATTTTCTATCATTCTAGATTTCAAAACAAAATTCAACAAAAAGTTGTTTTGTATTTATCAGATTTTTCAAACAAAATGGCAAAAGAAGTCCCTTAAAATAAATATGAGTTTTGACTCTGCCCACTTTCATATTTATATTTCATATTTATTTAAAAAAAAAAATGAAATATATTTGACTGATATAGCACCATATTTCATGGGTAAAATTAAATAATAGTTTTCAATTTTTAAATCCACCCTTTTGCCATGTTTACTGATCCACATACTTATACATAATGCAAACTGCATAGAAAATAGTATCCAGTGTTTAAAGCTAGGGGGAGCTAATGTAGCAGATTAAAGAGGTTATATTAGGTCTGTCAAAGCCAAACAGATAAAATTGCCGACATAGTCTGGAAATTTTGGAGAACAAAGATTTAAATGCTGCAGGATTACAGTGATCATTGTGCTGTAAAAGGCATCTTAAACTACAGCTGTCATCGATAAGGACAATATTGATGTATCATTGATATTTTTCTGTCAATCAATAATCAATCACATTCCAAAAAATCAATAATTTTGACTATTTAATTTAATACTAAATAATGTCTAGAAATTATGAAAATTCACCCAAAACATATATGGAAGCAGTTATCTATGTCTTACATTATGCTGTTGTTATACTTGTTATATAGTGGAAATATTTCACAGAAAAAATATGTTCTGGGAAAAAATCATGCAATGGGCTTTTATAAAGAAGGCACTGAACAGAACATGTTTTTAACTGAAGTCATTTAAATAGGTATGTTTAACAAGAGAATGACAGACAAGTAATTATAGGTAATTATCTATATATCGGTTTATCAATGATTATTGATATTTGTCGTCCGATATCGATATATCATCAATATGCTTTACACTGAATCAATGACAGCTCTATCTGTAACTCCTTTTGTGTCTTTTCAAAACAGAAATCCATTTACAGCTGCATTTTGTAATTCCTTTAATACTATTTTACATAGAATAAGAAGAATTTAAGATTACATGTATTTGTATTGGCTTTGACTTTGCTATTCAGGTATCCTTCAAGTGTGTTTGTGGGTGATACATTTTGTTACTTCTCAGGGATGACATTTGCCGTGGTGGCAATCCTCGGACATTTCAGCAAGACAATGTTGCTGTTTTTTATACCACAGGTGGCCAACTTTGTCTACAGTGTACCTCAATTATTTAGATTTGTACCATGCCCTAGGCATAGACTTCCAAAGTAAGTTAATTTTTCATTTTGATAGTCTTTTGTGTGATTACGGTAACTAAGTGAAAATTTATAGTTTTCCTTACTATAAATTTATTATTTTCTACATCAGGAATTTACCAGCAATAAGGCGGGAATCTTATAATCATATTATGAGTTTAGAGCAATCAAACCTTGCCTTAAGCTACTTCAGGATTTGAGCCCATTATTTTCCTGTAAATAGTAAATATTTGCAGCATACCTTTTTAGGTAGTCTAAGCTGGTCTCAAAATGATATCCTGGGACAGTTCTTGTTCAAAATTCTGAGGTCCACATGGAATTTGTAAAAAACACAGTGATGTACTGTAGTTAGTATTTTGTATAAAAGAATCAAAATACATGTACTACTTTTAGATTTCGCTACTTTAATGACAAATAATTTCACATTTCAGGCTTTCTTCACATGTTTACTTAAGCATCTAAAATGCTCTAAAACCATTATTTAAATGTTATGAAACTCATTTTTGCCATTCCAAAAGAGTGCAGGATTTATTCCTTTCCGAGATTTAATAAATGTGCCTTTAATAGAACATGTTTTCTTTGTTTTAGGTATAATGCAAACACTGATAAAGTGGAAATGAGTCGGGCAGTATTTAAAGAGAGTGAATTAAAACCTCTAGGAAAACTCTGTTTTTTCATTTACAAACTGGTTGGAGTTGTCCATATTACAGAAAACAAAGGAACGGAAGGGACATATTATGAGTGCAATAATTTAACTTTAATAAATCTTGTGTTAAAATTCTGTGGTCCTCTTCATGAAAGAACTCTAGTCAGTATTTTGTTGATTATGCAGGTAAGTGAACAAGTTCAACATTATTTGTCTTGTAATGTTAATGCAATGCAAACAAGTTTAAGAATTACAGATGTTGTATTTTTACCTTTTTCTTGAAAAAAAATGATAATGCAGCTCCAAATTGATACGGATATTTTATTATTTCTGTAAAAATACATAAATTTGGATCATACCATTTTATTGGTATTTCTTGTGGTAAAAATTGATCTGTCAATGATAAGTTTAGGTCATTTACTTTCTATAAATGACTATATTTTTTATTTAATGACTATTACACTTACATTTGTAAAGCCTATACAGATCAAGTGGTGACTTTTAGCTTATTTGGTAGTGGAAGACCTCATGCTTCTCTATTTATTATTTTAGAAATTGATTGTTACCAAGGCTCACATATTGACATTTTTTTGTGTGTTAAATGTTTACACGATTGCTAAAAAAATACTAAAACGATACTGTTTAAACAGTAGTACTACTACATGATATAGATAGATAGTTTTATTTCAATCATATTAGGCTTAAAAGCCCACGATGACATGTTAACAGCATAATACTAGACAACGAACAGTGCATATACATATGAAATACATAACATAGCATAATGATAATATCGGAGAAGATCATAACGACAAACTCTTCAAGTATAAATACATTAATGTTGTGTTTAACTTACATATATATGTATAGTATCATTTTATATAAATGTAATCCAAAACATATCTATTTGATGAATCTTTAAAGTTTTAAACCTATGTGAAATTATATACATTCATCAAATAATAGGTTATATACATACATGTACTGAATATATCCACGATTCTTGCCACACTCTAAGACAAGAAACATAGAATATAATTGATGCATATTTAATTCATTTGTAATGATTATAACATAAATATATCGGCCTTACCGAAAAGAAACTGCAAGACTGATAATATGTTATAAATTAACAATCATATTCAACATGACTTATTTTCATTTATATGTTCGTTTTACATATATACGTTTATTTAAGATGAGATATTTCAACAAAATGAGCACATCGCATCCAATGAAATAAATATGCATACTACACAATGTATCTTTAACATTATTCATGTGTCATAGCTCTTTCGCCATAGAGACAAAAGAAAATTTATAAAGTATCAAAAGTAACCCTAGAATATATTCATCTTTTGAAAGCATATATATCACTTAAATTAATATAGTATTCACAGTTTATAGAAAAAAGACATTGTACTTAACAGTATACTTAGACGCTAAATTATATTAATGACTACATGAGATTGTTTCAACTAACGGTATTAACAAAAAATAATTATAACTTTAACAAATAATTAAATGATAGAATTTCTTAGTTTAAAAGCTTTTTCAACAAATATTCCTAGGTTTCTTATCACTTTTTTATTTTCTGAATTTAATAATTCTATAAATTTATACATATTTGGTCTGTTCCAAAACTTCTTGTGAATATAAGAGTTTCTTAATTCTGTATATAATGAGCATTCAATAACGAAATGGTATTCGTCTTCAAGAGTATTGCATAATGAACATTTTCTATCGTTTAAGGGTATTCTGGTTGGTTTAGCCCACCTACCAGCTTCTACTTGTAGTCTATGAGAGGACACTCTCAGACGTGTTAATGACTGAACAAATTTATTTGCAGTAAAACAATCAAGATATGGTTGGTACCTAAAGAAAGAAATATTTCTATAAAACAAAGCTCTACTAGAATTTGATAATCTTGAGTTCCAGTTCTGAATAAATTGGTCATTTAATCTTTGTTTAACTAAGGACAAAAATATCTTATCATCACCTACACCTTGATATAACCATGCGTCAACAAAACCTAGTGAACATAACAAATCTTTTAACATGGAACACCAATTTCGCCTATTTTCATACTGTTCAAAATCATCTTTTAACAAAGAGTAAATAATGAAGACATACTTGTTTCTTCCTAAATGTAATATTTTTAACCAATATTTAATAATATTTAAAAAATGCACAGTTTTAAAGGATACCCGACCTAATTCCCCATAAATAAAGTCATTTTGTGTAGTCTTTTTAACACCTAAAAGTTTTTTACAAAATTGTAAATGCACCCTTTCAATTGATAAATCATTGACAAAACCACACACTTCGCTGCAATAATTTAAAATCGGAGATACGAGTTTATCAAATAATTCTAATTTATGTTTTGGTTGTAAATAGGTAAATTTGTATAAATATTTATTCAGCTTAAATACTGCTTTTTGCGCTTGACCTGCTATAGTATTGTGGGCGGTACTTAATGAACCTCCACTTGTAAAAACAACACCTAAATAACAAAAATTGTTCACAATCTGAATAGACTGTTCATTGTATAAAAATTCTAAATTTCGTGGTAATGTTCCACCTTTTTTAAAAATCATTATTTTTGTTTTAGAGACATTAACCTTCATTTTCCACAGCTCACAATAATTGTATAATAAATCAATACTTTTTTGGAGTTCTTCAGGTGAATTTGCGAATATAACAATATCGTCTGCGTATAATAATAAAAATATTTTAAGCATGTTTACATCTAAGCCAGTCATATTACCATGTATAAAAACATCTTCAAGGTCATTTATGAACATAGAAAATAAGAAAGGAGATAGACATTCTCCTTGTCTTACTCCTAGTAAATATGAGTATTCCTCACTTAACATGTTACAATGCTTAACTCTTGATTTTACAGAATCATAAATGGATTTTACAATATCAAAATTCTTTCCTCGTAAACCTAGTTGTATCAATTTGTACCACAGATTATCTCTAACAATATAATCAAATGCTTTACTAAAATCAACAAATAAAGTATAAAGTTGTTTTCCTTGATTTAAAAAGTGTGACAATAATCCATTTAATACATATATATTATCTACTGTACTCATCTTTGATCTAAACCCTGCTTGTGCTTCTATATAAACATTGTAATTTTCTGCCCAAAACTTTAATCTATTATTAATAATACGAGTGAAAAGTTTACCTAAACAGCTTAAAAGTGTAATACCACGATAATTCTCAACATTATTAATGCTCCCTTTTTATGTAAAGGTATTACATAACCTTCTGACCACCTAACCGGAAAATAAACCAATATCATATATTTTATTAAATAACGAATACAAAACAGGTAATAAAATATCTTACCTTGTACAAAAAATTCGTTCAACAATAAATCAGGCCCGCTTGACCTATTATTCTTGAGCTCCTTTAAAGCTAAACTAATCTCCTCCGTAGTGATGATGGTATTTAATTCATTAAACATTATTTTAAATTCATTATTTTCATAACGCTCTACAAAATGTAAAATATCTTCGTCAGGTGAAAAAAATCTATCATCTGGACTATTTACGGCTTTAAAATATTGGGCAAATGTAGATAACGGTATATTAGAATGATTTACACCAGAAGCTTCTTTTAACATTTTCCAATACAGACGTGCATTATTATATCTTACAGTTAACAGTTTATTTGTTTTTTCTTTATCAAAATTATATCTACATTTACGTAATACAGTTTTATACTCAGACCTGGCTTTTACCATGTTTACTCTATTAAAATCATTCTGGCAATCACGATATTTGTTTAAGCATTTATAAATATATAAAACCTTGTTCAAGATGCCCATTTGATGACTGTCAGATATCACATCTCTTTAATACAAATAAGAATATTGTACAGGGTATAGGGCAAAACAATCAGTGAATCTCCAATACGCTAAAAAGTCAACTTTGACAGAAAATATTAGGTCTCAAGCAATTATTACACGATGATATGTAGGATAATCCTCCCATTTTGGGGGCTGCTGACTATCAGTAGCCAATCAGAGAGTGGCCAATCAGTAGTTCCTACACTAAAGAACATTTTTTAATTGGTCTGAGACAAGCTCAATGGTGTGAAAATTTTTACAAGGGATTATAAGAGTTAAAATTATGCAATATAAGTGTTGTATTTTTGTAAACACAAGTTATATTCTTTGATTAACAAATCACAACACTGTTAGTTTAAAGTCAATGTGCTATAGATTTTTCTGCTTTATGAAGTTTGTAAACTACAATTTTTTTATTGCCAAACAAAATCTTCCTAACCCATTGGGGGCCTTAGCGGGCACCCCAGTAGAACCACCATCCTTTCATGTTCTTGGTAATTTTATAACCTTCAGAGAGGTGAGGGCAAGTGATTCTAAATCCGAGATCTAAACAACTGAGAGTCTTTTTGTGTCGCCTCTACGGAGTAGTGGCGACATATAGGGATTACTTCTCCGTCGTCTGTCTGTCTGTCCGTCCGTCCGTCACAAAACTTGTCCGGACTACTCCTCATAAACTACTGGTGCAATTTCATCCAAACTTTACAGGAATGATCAGTACCAAGTCTAGTTGTGCATATTGTCAGCATTTTCCGGTTCAATGATTTTTGTCAGAGTTATGGCCCTTTAATAATTTTTAATTTTAAAGTTTGTCCGGACTACTTCTCTTATACCACTTATGCAATTTCAATGAAACTTTACAGGATTGATCTGTAGCTCAAGTCCTTGTGCATATTGCACGTGTTTTCAGGTTGAATGATTTTTGGCCGAGTTATGGCCCTTTGATAAAAAGGTGTTTTTTTCTGTGTGTCGCCAGATACACAAAAGCTTGTCCGGACTACTCCTCATAAACTACTGGTGCAATTTTATCCAAACTTTACAGGAATGATCAGTATCAAGTCTAGTTGTGCATATTGTCAGCATTTTCCGGTTCAATGATTTTTGTCACAGTTATGGCCCTTCAATAATTTTTATTTTTAAAGTTTGTCCCGACTACTTCTCTTATACCACTAATGCAATTTCAATGAAACTTTACAGGATTGATCTGTAGCTCAAGTCCTTGTGCATATTGCACGGGTTTTCTGATTGAATGATTTTTGGATGAGTTATGGCCCTTTGATAAAAAGGTGTTTTTTTCTGTGTGTTGCCAGATACGCAAAAGCTTGTCCGGACTACTCCTCATAAACTACTGGTGCAATTTTATCCAAACTTTACAGGAATGATCAGTACCAAGTCTAGTTGTGCACTGTCTGTCTGTCTGTCACAAAATTTGTCCCAACATGAAATTGGCCATCATGAGGCGACACATGTGATTACTGATCGCTCTTGTTACAAGATTGATATAACTTGACACTGAATCAAATAAACAACTTTACATACATGACAGTTATGCCAGTGTACATATTTTCTATCTTCTTCTGTTTTCAGATATTGTGTAGTTTACTTGCATTTATGGTAAGATATCAAGTCGCCAAACTTTTCTACGACGTGTAATGGACAAAGCGGAACATCGAAGAATACTGAACATATTTTGTCTGTGATGAAACTACCCTAGTTTTATTTAACAGTAAATACCACAGTGGTTGATAAATCTATAAATCCAAGTGACAGTGTGTTGCTCAGTACATACAGTTAAACTTCTTCGCTCGAACTCGGATCACTCGAATACCTCCCTTCGCTCGAACTCATCGCCCAGTCCCGGCAAAATTCCTATATAATATATATTGTTCTACCTCGGATCGCTCGAACACCGATCGCTCAAACTCTTGAACCTGATCTCTGGTCCCTTCAACAGAAATATAGTGAAAGTCACACCTTTTCGGTCGAACACAGAAAGACAAATCGACATGTCCTAAATAAATGACAGTCGGCTACACATGTTTTTAACACCTCATGATCGTGACAAAGGTAATTAAGGTTAATTGATACAAAATAAGAGGTGTTGTAACCGATTTGTTTGTTATGATAATATTGTTGATTTGCCGTTTATGGTAACGATAAAAAGAAAATAACTCATGAAATAAATTAAATATGCAATAAAGAATGACGTTTACACGGACGGCTTTAATTGCAACCGTGGTTAATGTAACGTGAATTATAACAGTGCTACCTCTTTATAGAATTATACTTGTACGTGTGTATATTTTAGTAAATGACTACAAAAGATGCTGCTGTAAACATTTTTTTAACTATTTTATTAATTCATTTTTAAAATTAAATTCATCCCATAATAAACATATAGATATATTTTGAACATTGTTCAACAAGTTTGGTCTGATTGCCCAATCGAACTCAACCAATTACAATATGCATGAATATAGATTACCACAGTGTACCATTATTAATTAATTGAAAATACTGGGATAATAATTCTGAATATGACATATACCACGAACAGATGTATTAACAAACAATTAAATTGACGTATTTATCATTCGACCGGTGTAAGCTAGAAAACCTTTAGGCCTATGATCAACGCAATTATAGTTCAACCTCGGTTGGCTCGAACAACCGATCTCTCGAACAAATTTGCACAGGCCCTCCGAGTTCGAGCGAACAAAGTTCAACTGTACTTAAAGCAGGCTTTAATATCCATAGGAATGTGTTATTTTTGTTGTTGCATTTACTTTTTATTATCTTGTTGTTAAATTGAATGGGATGGTCACTTTTAAACTTTATATGAATTATTTTTTATATATCTAAAGGCACAGTGGCAACAATTGTTTATTGTATGACATCAGTGTTCAAATGAGCTTTTAATATCATGTGCAATTCTTGCTATCCAAAAGTCTGATTGATGCATTTATGATATCTTAAACCAATTACATTATTTTATGAGGATAAGGTCTTTTTGATGTTATTTTTGTTGTTCTTGTTAAAAATTAAATTATTGTCATTTTGTCATGCTACTTTTTCTTAGATATATTTTTGTTAAAAATTTAATTTTTGTCATTTTGTCATGTTACTTTTTCTTTATTTAGTTTAAATTGAATTCTATGTTATTGTTTCCAAAGACTAAAAAAACAAAACAGGATACAAGCAGAAAATTTATCCCTTTGATAAAGGTAACATTATACAAGGGACATAAAAGCATGTCGGTATGTAAATAACAATCGGGTTTGTGGGTAACAGTAAAAATATCATCCCAAGGAAAATACTGTTACCAGAGGCGTTATCATACTTTTACTGTTACTTACAAACCCATGTGTTATTTATTTTATTACCCCGAACAATATCTGTGATGATCTAAATCAAACTGAGGCTAAATGGAGGAAAAAAATGGCGGCCATTTTATTTTATTTATCCACATTACCAGATTTTATACTGTTAAAAAGTACTGTTACCTGTACTGTTACCTATGTAACAGTACAGATTTTTAAGTCATGTGGTACACTTGAGTTAACAGTATAAAAAACTCCCATTGGCCTATGGGAAGTTAATATTACATAAAAAAAGAGGGGCATTTCGCTTAATATTTTCTTTTTGATATTCTTTTGTGTAATTGCAAAATGAATAAGATTTACCTTGATTTAATTACCTTGTAAAATGCCTGTATTTTGGAACTGGTCCTCACTTGAGTTCTTAATGTTATATCACAGGGTGCTTTATTGTTTATAAATGTACAGATTTTCATAAAAATGCTTAAAATTATTATATTGTTATTTTCTTATATTTTTTTTGTTTCACTTTATTGCATTTGTATAATGTTATTGTTTTTGATGACATTTTGTGGAGTTACTGGTAGCAGTGATAATAACATTTTTAATAACAATCAGTGTACATTTTTAACAAAGGTAAAAAAACAATCTAAGAAATCACATTCTTTTGTCTAAATTTTATTGTTATACTTTTTACATATTTATGTTTTTTCAATATAATAAGAGTACAATGGCTATATCATATGTTGCATCATATGACTGCAGAAATGAAACATGATAATTATACCACCTTAAAGGGACTCCACTGAGGTTTTTTGACATGACTGGACTGGAAATAATTTTTCGAGATTAATGTTCCATTTGATGTAGGTCTTGACCAATGGTTTTTGTGCAACATTTTAGATCAATTGCTCACTGTGCTTTTTTTCCAGAATTATTATTCTTATCTTGAAAAACGACAAAAAGATTGAAAATCATTGTGACTCTTTTCAATAAAATCAGGCTAAAAATAGCACAAAAATATGTTTTTTAATTTATTTCTGAGTATATTTCTTAACTATCTTATGCATATCTTTCTGTTTATAAGTACCCTTGCTGATTCACATGAAAGTATCAAATGTTGTGTTTTTAGGCTTTTGGACCTCAGTGGAGTTCCTCTAATTTGCCTATACATTGTATGTTATTATCATATATAATGACATATATAATGTACATTCTACAATGATAATGATAGTTAAATGTGAAAGGTGAATTCTAAAACTGTAAAAATACATAATTTATGAAACCCTTATTAGGAATAAAAGAGAAAAAACAATACAATGTATTTGAAATTATAGCTCCTATGGTGTTTATGGAAATGAGGTGAAGAATATTTCCAGTATAGGCAGCCAGAAAGCATATTTTATGTTAGATTTTATTGGTTCTTATAAGTAAGTAATCATTTTATTGTATGGGGCATGTTCAAATGATAACTAACATTTACAGAACTTAGCACCCAATCCAATGGGTCTGTTTCATGTTTGAAGTACCTGTATATTAAATGATTACATGAATATTATAATATGTTCATTTCAGTATTATTGTCTCTTAACATTTAAGTGCTTTAATTCATTTCTTTTCTACATTGTACTTGAAGCTTTAGTGACATTGACAAATTTTATAAGATATTGCTGCTTTAAACAGAAGTTTCCATTGATAAATTTGTTTTGAATTGTCCATAGATATGTGTATGGATTTAAGTACTTGTTTAAATCAGTCATCGGCATAAAGTCTAATTGGAATTCAGGGATATGTCGTTAATTTTAGGGGTTACAATATTTAAAACCTTGAATTGTGTAGCTTACTTTACGGTATAGAATCTGATCGGATTGAAAAGTTTTGTATGCTGTCTGGCTCTACTCTTGTGGCATTGGCAAGTGGTGGTTGCCACTAGCACTATCGGTTAAGATGTCATCTGTTAAAAGGGTTGGGTACAGTTAAAGCTGCACGCCTCCAGATTCATGCTAATTTTCATGAAAATTTTGAAAATGTACTTGAATGTGTAATATTGTAAAGTAACCAAAACAAAGCAATTTACACATTATCAATGGCCATAACAAACCGCTTAAATTACCAAAAATTAGTCAAAATATGCAAAAATAGCCTTTACTGCATTAGTAACGCAGTAGAAATATAGTTGTAAATACTTAAACATTAGTCATTAATCGCACATAATATGTAAAATATTACTTGAATCTTGAAACATTTTACTTTTCCTTACATCTTAGTACATTTCTCTCAAGTTGATTCTATTGAAATATTTTGACTCATCTGGAGGCATGTAGCTATAACTGTAAAGTGAATTTTTTATAAAATCAGTACAAACATGACGATATATGTATATAATTATTTTACCTTCAAGAAATGTGTTCCTTATTTATTTATATAAGTGTCACAGGGCATTAAAATAGTAAATATATAATACATGATCATGTCAGTCCAACAAAAATGTATAATGACTGCTTGAGCAGGCACTGTTAACATTTTTATCAGACCACTAAAATTTAGAGATGTGTCGCCTTCGAAATATTTTGCAGGAAGTGCAAAGCCAACAATTTTCAGTGCATTTTACTTAAAAATTTTTATCCTGATGAAGATCATTGTTACTATGGAAACTATATTAGATGGTGATGTGTAGTTTCTCATAGTCCTTCTCTACCCTCAGTTATAAGTTTGGTTGTTTAAACCATATGATTTTCTTCCTCAGTGAACATTTACCATCATATGTTCTAATAAAGTGTGATATGATAAAAGGTATAACACACTTCAGGCCTCATAACATTATAGTGACCTCAGTCAGTCAGACCTAAACATTGAATGGACCTCAGACTTCAACTTCGGTTCGTTAAATTATTTGCAGGCTAACTGATCGGTCACTATTATTCCATGAAGTCTCGAGTATATGTAATATTACTTAAATAATGTTATGTTATGTTATTAGCAGGCTAATATTGTTATTTGCAGACCAACTCATTCCACGTGGCCTTTAGTGCTATGTAATATTTCATAAATTATATTATGTAATAACATAAGACTTTGTGCTAATCTAGGGAGAATATGCACAAAGACTAAAAATCTACACCATATTTCATTTCTTGATGTTAATTGATCATATATAAATAATGTTAAATCTTTCTAAATGTGGTCTTTATTTTTACACTTTATGTTATTTAAAAGTTTATAATGATTATTTTGTCATTGCCATTCTTCAGCATTGGTTAACCCTTTACGTCAAGTTTTCACTAATTGTCGATAACTTCTACATACAAAGTAACGGGGAAACTTTATATGTGGATGCACCTTAATAAATTATTTCCCTTATTCTACTTTACTTTTATCATACTGAGAAAAGAGACAGCTCTTGTTTTGATTTAAAAGAAAAAACTGTAAAGATTGTTATAGTATTTATTATTAGATATGTAATTTA